AAATTCATTGAAATGTTGATCTTAACATTGATCGCCTTAGCATTAGCAGCAACACCAACAACACCATCTGAATCACCATCTATGGAAGCTGTCTCTTTGTTCGATCAAACAGCCTTGAAAGTTACTTTACTCAATGGGGAATGCAACTTGTATCACATCGACTTGGACAAACATGATACTATGTACGCCCCTTATGATTTTAAATTCAAAGACAAAACAGACATCGTAGAGGTTGTTGTGACTTACGACTTGAAATTCCAAGGAACAAAGACCTCTGCCATTTGTTTGGGTAAGAAGGAGTACATCGGCAAATTTGCACCAAACGAAACTGAGTTTTATGGAGACAATAATGCGCTCAAAGAACTTAGATGTATACAAAACAATAGCACAACTTCAGGGACTATAACTGGAAAGATGCAATACCAAGATTACGCTGATATTTATGTTGGTATTTGGATCGATTGTAAATCGAGTACCGTCTGCACCAAAGAGTCATTCACAATTTCTACTATGGTCCGTGCAAAAACAGCTGGTGACGTCACAAACTTTGCCACTGGATCATACCCAGTATTCCCACAAGACGATAATTTGGAAAGATGGTCTGTACCTTTCAGTATTAAAACAGCTGGTTCGACTGGGTCTTACTACGCTGCTTTGTACTATACTCCAGCTGAGGGCCAGGAATCCGTTTTCGCTTCTATTGATGGAGATGAGTCTATTACTTTGTTCTTCACTAATAATTTGACTTCGAGTTGTATCGGCAATGACAACTTGTGCCCAAGCAATTCGCAAAACCAAAACTCATACCTCAACTCAAACAACGTTGCTTTTACTAAGCCTTGGAAACTCGTTTTGCAAAGTGGGAAGGTCGACAATAACATTAAAATCAGAATTTCAAAATCGGGTGCTTTGAATTTCTTCATCGCGTTGGCTGCAGTTTTATTGTTCTTGTTCTAACACTTTATTGACTTTTTTTACTATTTCTTTTAATACCATTTTTATGAAAAAAATGGGTTTTTAATTATAAAAATATAACTTTTTTTAAATAATAAAACAAAAATTGATTATTTTTTTAAGGAATTGAACTCTCATGTGCTAATAAATTTGAATAAGATCTTTAAATAATAAAAATACTAGTTAATAAAATTAAAAATATAATAAAAACATGACAAAAGACAAATCTATTTTGCATTTCTATTTTTATTAATATTTTTATTATTTATTAGTATAATACTCATATGTGTTATTATTATTAAATTTTTAATTAAACAAAACTAAAAGAAACTTAAAAGTACAAGATGAGTGTCCCTCAACAATTACAACAGCCAACTCAACCAACACCATTACCAATGACTCAACCTTATCCTGTCGAACAAAACTTCTCCGTCCCCACCGCACCTTCTGAAATGACAAGTTCTGGTCCTCAACAAGTTTCCAATTATTTACCATCCAATTCCGTCGCATATCTTCCACAGCCTCAAATCTATCCATCACGTCTTACCAATCTCC